CCAAAATAAAACCCAAACCCACCGAAGTCATAGTGATTGTCCCTACCGCCTCTACCCAACTACATCGTTGCCACTGCAGCCTTCTTGAACTTCAATCATCGGCAGAAGCCAGAGTTAAAAAAGAAAAATGTCCGCAATAGTAATGGATGAGTAAGCAAAAGGAGGACCAATGTGGATGTTGAAAATTAAAAAATCTCTATATAAAAAAAAACATTGGAGAAAACTCTCAAACCCTTCTTCCTACGCATAAAAAAATTAAATCTACATTATAGAAGTGTTTTTGGAACTCATTGAAAAGACAACATAAGAGAGGCAGAAATAGCCTCAAGAGAGGCTCTCCAGCGTCTCTGCTGGGTCTTAGAAATCATATTTTGTCCTCAACAATCTAATAACCAAATGTAAGTTATAGAATTGAAACCAGTCAAAGCCCTCTAAATAAAATTAGAGGATTGAGGCACACGAACATGTGTAGCAGGACATCTTGGTGACTCAAGTACATGGTACAACACATTTCAATGAACACCTCATAATTAATATTAACTACATTTCCATTGATAATTTCTAAAACCCGTCCAAAAGATTCGCCCAAAACATCACCATGCCAAAATTTCATTAAAAGATGTTATTTAGGTGTTTGTGCAATGACTTTAACCTTGAGATTTACAGATACTGCACATCGGAAGGATGATTGGATAAGGTAGATGGCTCTTCACCGTTCTCATTCATTCCAGTAGCATGGTCAGGTGAAGGAGGGGGCTGTTCACCATGCTTCTTGTTCTCGGGTTGAAAATTGATGGGGAACTTTGTAACTCTAGGTTTGTCAGCCAAAATATTCCTTTGAACCCTATCCACCAACACCTTTTGGGGAGGCTCCTCCCTTAGTTGTTCATCATTATAATCATTGTTCACATAGTATCCTACTCGAACAAATTCCTGGCCCATATAAGAACATGTCAATAGCAATACTGTGACGCCAATATCCGGTCGATCCACGGTCGGCAAAATGACAACCGCAGTAGACAAGTGCTTCACTCGGTCGTCCGGCCGGTCGATCGGTAAACACAAATTTAAGCCATTCAAGACAGCTCAATTCGAGGCATCAAAAATTTCCCTTTGTCTTATACCAACCGAAAGCTAATAATTGATCTATTGAATTTGAGTATCTTAATAAATTTTTTCGAGAGACGCTTCTTCAAAAAAAGATTTATTTGAATGAATTCAAATATAAATTCGGTGAATATAACAGTACTAATAAATTAAACCCATCATCTAAAATGAATTAATATTTTTTTTTTTCATTTTTATTTTTTTATAACATATGATTGGTTTTAATTTTAAAATTTTTAACAGGAATCAATCAAAACACTAAATATTTTTATTTTAATTCTTTCAATATTAGTAGATAAATAATTGAGCATTGCTAAAAAAAAAACAAAAAAAAACAAAAAAAAATTCTAATTTTCGAGGCTAGTGAGGTGGGAATCAATTAGGATACTCTCTCTCATATTTTTTCTAATTATCAATAAATTATAATACTTACATGTTATTAAATTTATAAAATAAGTCTAAAAAACAGATTTATGGAGTGTTTGGAAAGATGATTAAAAATTGACTTTTTTATTTTTTTTTATTTTTTAACTTTTTTTTTGCGAAACAATAAGTGGATTAAAAGTTGAGAAACTACATTTAACTTGCTTCCTAAAATAAACCTTATATAATATCATTTTCTAATAATTAATGATATACACGTTTTATGACAAAAACTTAGGATTCGTTTGGAAAGTGGGTTGACTTTTTGATTTTTTAACTATTTGATTATTTTAGTCTGAGACTAAAAGATTTCGTTTGGAATGACTTTTTAATTTTTTTAACATGATAATTATTAAAAAATATTTAAAATATTTATTAAAAACAAATACAAATACAACCATCTATTACATAATAATTTTTAAAAAATATTTATTAAAAACAAATACAACCATCTAATACATAATAATCATCTAAAAATATCAATAAAACAACCATCTAGTACCAAATTAACTTATTTAGATCATATAATTCCTTACTTTTTGAATATATATATATATATATATATATTTTTGTAATAAACCAAAAAATCAGTTGATAAGCTACTTTTCACATTAACGGTTCACCAAACTTTTCATCAAATCTGAGTAAAAAAATCACAATTTTCCCAATTTTGATACCAGATGCTCCAACGGTTCACCTTTCACCAAATCTGTCCCGGGACAATCGGTTGGTCGACCGGTGAGGGAAATTTTTTTTTTTTTTTTGAATTGTTTGAACCAGAAATGCTGAACTGTTTGAACTTTTTCATGGACAACCGGTTGATCAACCGGCCGATCAACCGGCTGGTCGATCGGTTCGTCTCCCCCAACGGTCATGTACAGTGTTTTGGTAAAATGCGAAGCCTGGCAGTTTGTTGAATCGTTTGGTAAAATCTTATTTTGATATCGATTTAGTGCAACTGTTAGAACATCAAATAGTAACTTTTTCATCAAAATTTAAATTTGATATCAAGTTTGATGAACCGTTAAAGATGGTGTTAGGCCTCTCTCCAATAAAATTTAAGTGGTTATAACTGCTGCTTAATAAGTGAAAAGTTTTGGTATTTTTCAAAAAAATAATATTAAATTAATTAAAAATAGAGCTAATAGTGCATGAATTTATATATTTCTTCATAATAACAAATGTTGAAATCAAAAAATTACTATCTTATTTAAATCACATCACTTCTTTATCACACAACTTTTAATTAAATAGTTCAAACATAATAGCAAAATGTTTTTCTTTCTTTTTTTTCTTCTTTTTTTTTTTTCAAAAAACGAAACTTCACACAACTTCGTCAGTACCAAATTAATTTCTCCGAATACATATTAGAATAGTTACGATTTGATATATGCCACTGTTTTAATTTAGACCACATTTTATGAAAAGATCACCAAAATTTTAAACCAATTTGTTTGGTTTGTATCTGAGAAATATGTTTTGAGATAAAAAGTACAAAAATTTATTTGGTTTAATTTTTTTTCAAAAAATGTTTTGAAAAATTATTTTGAGAGAAAATTTTAAAAAAAGTGATTGATTTGATATGTATGAGAAAAACATTTGTTTGGAAAATTTATAAACCAAACAAGTTTTGAAAAAAAAAATTGAGAAAATTTGTTTAATTTGATTACTTTTGAAAACTTATTTATAGAGAATTTTTTTCAAAATTTTTTAAGAAACACAAACCAAACAAAGTCAGTTTTCTTATAAACAATTACCCAAAATTTTTTTCTCATAAATTATTTTTTTATTGTATGGTTCTCACTTTTTTGTGTTTGTTCATGCTGATTTTATTACTTACGCCTTGGCAGTGAAAAAATAAAATTAAAAATGAGATTATATATAACCTCCCTCAACAACACAACCTACAGTGGATCATCTCTTACTCTTCAATTACTTCAAGAAAACAAATTAACATGTCTTTATTTGATACATTGTAAAGAAATAATAGATGATAGCATGAGCATGAGACTACTTACATTAATAACAATAAATAAGATGTGTACAAAATAAAAACTTCCAATAACAGAACTAAAGATCACTTTCATTTAAAACGCACCATTCTTTGCCTTCTTTTGAAAAGTGAGTTATAATTCACTTTTCAGATTATAACCCACTTTCCTCTCGTATAAAAAGTTGATTATAATTAATTTTTAATCAGCTATTAACTAAAAAACTAATTATAACTATTTTTCTAAAATAACCTTAAAATTGTTATTATCCAACACCTGATTTGAATCAAGTATTCAATAACGACCATGCTACGTAACTCGAAATCGCAGCTCGACACCAAAACGACGTCGTTTTGGTGTCAATTTTTTTTTTTTTTTTTTTTTTTTTCTTTCTTTCTTCCCTGGTTTTGTTACAGAACGAAGAAGAAGAAGGGAGAAGAAGAGAAGGGAGGAAGAGGCGGAGGAGGAGGAGGAGGAGGAGGAGGGAGGGGAGGGGGCCATAAAAACCGGTTGGAGGAGGAGGGGAGGCTGGGCAGCTGACAGTGGTGCTGCGACGTCAGCGGGGCTGGGCAGACGACCGGGGTTGGGTGAGGCGACGGTCTACTACGACGATCGACGACGACGAGCCCTCTCCTCTCTCTTTCTCCCTCTCTCCTCTTCCCTCTCTTTCTCCCCTCTTCTTCCATTTTCGAGCCGTTTCGGGCTCGACCCTTTCGAGCTACGAGACATTTTCGTATTCAATAATAATTAACTACTGAAGATAAAAATTATGTAAAAATTAAACAATAATATCTTCTATCTTTCTTATTTATAATAGGAAAATGATTTGTAACCCTAAAAAAGTTGCCCCTAATCCCCCTAATTTCCAGTTTTGGAAACTGTTTTTTTTTTTTCTTTCTTTCTTTTTTCCTTTTTTTTTTTTTTTTTTTTTTTCTGAAATGGAATTTCGGGGCATTCGACCCCCGAAATTTAGGGCCCCTCGGGCCACCCCATTTCGGGCCTCAATCACTTCCGTTTATAATAAGATCAAAATTCAAAAAAATCAAAGAAGACATCACTAATCTAAAATTAATTCCAAACTATAAAAATTGTTAATATTATTCACTCTATTAAGGTAAAGTGAGTATCAAATTTCACACAAGATATAGTTACTACTATTTTTAGAAGTTTAAAAAGTGTTAGATTAGTATAATTTTTAATTTTTTACGAAAAAATATAAAATATAAATTGAATTTAAAATAATATAATATAGAAGTGATGTGATTATTGTAATACAAATAAGATAATATGCTAAAATAACATGCTATTTTAACACACGCCGAACATGCAAGTAGCATCAATAGCAGGAGCAGCCCATTGAGCTTGCAAAATTCCCACACCAATATTATAAGCTCCAATATCTCACCCTTGTAATTGCACTTGCTATTTTTAGAATTGAGCATGAAACATATATAAATATATAAATAATGAATGAAGTGATTTGGACGCTAAAACACCCACCCATTAATTAATTAAACATGAAAATTTCAACAAAGATTCGTTAGAAAAGAACCAAGTAAAGCTGACACTAATAACTATTCTCTTTCTCTTTCAGTTTACCACTTCACAAAAAATAAACAAAACAAAACTAAACTAAACTAACACCAACATCATCATCATCATGAAGATTAAACATGTGAAAATTAAACCCAAAAGTCCTAATAACACAAATCCAAGACTTCTTCACAGTAGCATGAGAATGAAACAAAGACACACAGAGATGGTGAGCGTGTTCAGTAGTGTGGTGGTGGTTGTCTAGGAGTGGGTGTCCATATCACATCAGAAGAAGCCAACTGACCACTATACATCGACATGTCCGCCGCCGTTGGATGCCCGCTATCATCACCACCTCCGCCGCCCGAAACCGCCGTAGGAGACATCCCCTCAACATCGTCCTCCACCGCCGGCAACCGATGAAACGCCGGGTTATTAAACGACGCCGCGATCACATACACCGTCGCCGCCGCCATCAGCGGCCCCACGACCGCCCCTCCCACGATCTGCCCCTGCGGCCCCGCCAAAGATATCGTGAACCCACTCGAAAACGACGTCGTCGCCGGCAATATCGTCGCAGACAGAGACAGTATATCGAAGCGGCCGTGGAACGTCACCGTAGCTCCCGTCGGCGAAGCCGTGGGTTGCCGGAGAGTGACGTTGGCGACGGCGCCAGAGGCGGTGAGGATGCAGAGGCCCGTGTTGCGGTTGCGGCAGAAGCGGGTGATGGCGGCGACGACGTCTCCGCCGGGGGGGAGCTCGAGAACGTAGGGAGTCATGGGGGGTTCGGTGGTGGAGTCGCGGGTGATGATGATGGGAGGTTTGGGTTTGTTTTTGGAGCCGGGTGGGCGGCCTCTGGGGCGGCGAATGACTTCGATGGTGGCTCCGTCGCTGTTGGGTTCTTTCATGGCGGCGGAAGGAGTGGTGGTGGCGCCGGGGCTACGGCTGTCGGCTTCTTCGGAGTTCTGGCATTCACGGATGACTTGGAAGTGGTGAGGATGTAGAGGTTGTTGGAATTTCTGGGTTTGGTGAAGCTTTGCAAACATGTTGTTTGGGTGATCCTTTTCCTCTGCAAATTCGCCTTTCATCTTCTTTCTCTCTATATATCTATATATATAGGTATATATCTGAATGAATGATGAGTGCAAGAGACGAGAAGAAGAAGAAGAAGAGAAGAAGAAGGGGTTTTGGTTTTTGGGGTTTGGATTTGTTTGAATTGAAATTGATTGGGAGAGAGAGAGAGAGATTAGAGAGAGGTGGGTGAGCTTGGAAACCAAGTAAAAGACTAACAGCGCCGCTCGTTGAAGGTAAAGTAGGCCCACTGATCATGGGAGAGAAAGAGAGAAACAGGGGTTTAGAGAGAGAAAGTGATGTGTGAGAAAACAGTGCATGTGGGCAAGTTCAGCCTTTCACCGCCTTCAACTTTTTTCTTCAAGTTTGAAACAGGAGAGAGAGAGAGAGAGAGAGAGAGAGAGAGGGGGATTTAAAGCTGCATGTGCGCGAGATGACAATTATGAAAAATCTGTTGACGAGAGTGGGGATGAGGATTTTTTCAAATTACTGGAAGATGCAGAAACTCCATTATATTTAGGTTGTGAAAAATACACAAAGTTGTCAGCAATTGTAGCTCTTTACAAGCTCAAAGCTGTAAATGAATGGTCTGATAACAGTTTTAATAAACTTCTGGAGATATTACATGATATGTTACCAATGGGAAATGTCATTCTGAAGTCTGTATACTCTGTGAAAAAATTTGTCAAAGCATTTGATTTAGGGTTGAGAAGATTCATACTTGTGTGAATGATTGTTGTTTGTTTAGAAAAAAGAATGCTGAAATGGAAAGTTGTCCCAAATGTAGTTTTTCACGATGGAAGGTCGAACAACACACCAATAAAATTAAAAAGGGTGTTCCTATTAAAGTGCTAAAATATTTTCATATAATCCCAAGGTTTAGGATGATGTTTAGGTCATCACAAATGCCTAAAGATTTCAGATGGCATTTGACTAATAAAAGTGAAGAGAGCAAGATGCGACACACAATTGATTCTTGCTCACAGGACTTGGTTAATAATAAATGGCCACTTTTTTCAGCAGATCCTTTACTTTTTAGTTAATTTTGTTAAATAAAAAATTTAAAAATATATATATTTATATTTTTTATGTTATATAAGATAATTTGTATTTTGAATAAATTTTTAAAATGCATTTATAATTCACCTTTTTCTTATGTATACGTTAATCGAAATAGTCAAAGGGCTACGTTTACTGTCATCAATTTCAAACCAATCAAGAGGTGAATGTCTGGATTTTATGGTGAACTACATAGCATGCAGTAATCCACTCTTTTAATTATTGTTAAATTATTTATTTAGTTTTTAAATTATTAATTGAATTTAAGAGTCTAAATTAGGCTCCGTTTGTCTTGAGCTTGGGCCGGCGCTAAACCACTCGGGCCGATCAAAATTTGAGTCAAACGAGTCGACTTAGTTTCCAAAAAGCACAACCTAAACCCAGTCTAAATTTTTTTTTTTCATTAACTAATATTGTCTTTTCATTTTATTTGATCACATCACCTTATATTTGAGTCACCTCATATTTCTACCACATTATATTTTTTTATAAAAAATAAAAAATATATTGAAATAATATATTTCCAAACAACTCCAAACACAAAAATGATTGAATGTAAATAATAATTTTTATAAATGAAATGAAATATTACAAATTTATAATATCTCAAAAAAAAAAGATAGACAACCTTCATAGAATGAATGATTCAAGCTTCCATTGAGAGAGATAAAAGGTCCCCACAAAAGAAGGATAATATCAACAAACAAAAATAAAGAAAACTGAACAAAAAAGAAAGGCTTCATTTGGGGGTGAGTTGAGTTTTTGACTATTTTATCCTGAGGCTAAAAAGTTCGTTTGGGTTAGATTTTTTGGTTTTTTTAACTATTGTGAGATAAAAAATAAAATAATTATGATTTAAATATAATATTTTTATCTTATTGATTTTTTAACTTATTCTGTCTTTTGTGACTAAATTAACACCCAGTTTCAAAAAAACCTCATGCCAAACAAGGGCCACATAACACTATATTCAAGTTACCACCAGACTCATCCAAAACATTACTACTCTACAACCTTCAACAAAGAATCTAAAGACTTTACCTCCACTAATCAAGATAAAATACCTAAAATTGAGATGGCTACCTAGCATGAAACAAACACATTATCCAACATCCACCTAATTGAAATGCTTAAATTTGACATAAATTTTGGCAAATTTTAGCTTTGTCACATTTGACATGGTTCAAAGAACAATTTTTATTTTTTTATTATTTAGATGGTTGATTTGAAATTTTTAACTTAAACTTGTTACTTTTATCATTTATTTTTTTATATATAACAAATTATTAAACTAAAAAATAATAAATTTGACATGAATGCTTGTTTTTAGAATTATCAAATTTACATATACCAATTTATTACCTAAATTTACAAAAAAAAGAAAAAAAGAGAAAAGAAAAAATAGCATACCAATTTTTTATAGGTGCTCTTACTTCACTGATATAAATATCTTTTTAATATATCTAAATTATTACTAGCCTACTCAAATCACTATAAGCATGCAGATATATTGAGGTGGCCAATAATAAACTCAGGTCAGTTAATCAAAATTCTTGCACCTCAGTTCACTTGAAATTGAAAAGTTTAAATCTTGTCACAGTCAAGACGATTCATTTAGGGGTGAAGTCATAATTTTATTTTAATAAAAGGGATAAAAAAAGTTAAATTAGAAATTAGTTTGAAATTTTAAAAATTATTTCCATCCAAAATAGAGAAAACAACAGAAAATAATGTGCATTTTTTATTTTTACATTTTCCTACCAAATTAGGTTTTGTATTTTTTTTTTTAAGGAAATAGATTCTAAAAACTCAACTGAACATTATAGTGCAACATGGTTAATCGAATTTGAAAGTATACAAAAGTAATTTATATTTATATGTACATATAAATAGTAATTGTGTATTGTTTTATAATTTTTTTGTTTCAAACTAAAATAATTATCATTGTAGTTCATAATAATTACAAATGTACAATTATCACACTTTTTAAAAATAAATTTTATGTATAAATATCATATTAGTGAATATTTTCATCCTCCTATCTAAATGGAGGTCACTTTATGGACTTGAAGTGACATGACATAGTTTTTTTTCTTTTTCGCCGTTTCGAACTATGTCTTGAGTGTGATGGTGAAAATAATAAGAATGACATGTAGATCAAAAAAATAATAAGAATTACTTTGTCTAATTGTGATTTTTCATTAAGAAAATTCTATTGATGATGACAGGATGAAAATTTTCAAATTGAGTTAGGATTACATATAAGAAAACTTGTAATGTGACTTAAGATGGAATGGAACAATATTGTTGACTATACATACCTTACCTCTTGCTAGAAGCAAAAATTACAATAGTGCAATTGCTTCTACAGCCACCTTTTGGGAAAGATTCAAAACAAATTTATTTTATAATAACCCAGGCAGTACGGTACTTGGTAAGGGTTAAAATCCCAAGTCTCAAGGGCCAATTTTTTGAGCTAACGCAATTGGTTAAAAAGTTAAATCTCAATTTGTTGCTGTCACCGCAACATTTGGTGTGGATACTCTTTCACTACGTGAGTCCTGAGTTAAACAGAACTTATCTTGAGAGGTTGGGATAACTTTTAAAGTTATAGTCTCTTATTAGGAACGGATAACAAGACACATTAGTGATCTCTGCGAGAGACGCTGCCTTAAACCTATGGAAAATGGGAAGATTTTCCTACAACAAAAAAATAATAATAATAATTGTTTTATAAAGTAATATTTTGATGACATAATTTTAGATTTGGAATTGTATTTAAAAACATAATTTCAAGTTTTCAAAGTGTTTTGAAAATACATTTTTTGAAAATTATTACCAAATTAAACCAACCAAATCAAATCTTAAGTCTCATTAAATAGGATATTTTTTGAAAGTTGTTACAATACTTTAATTCAAATCAATTTTTGAAAGCATATGATCACAAACATATCAAGAAAAGAATATGGAATAGGGCCTTAGATTTATTTGTGACTCAGGGAAAAGCAATATGAAGTGAACATCTCATGTATGATTTTTAGATTTAGGAGGGTCTGTTTGGAAAATAAAAAGTTTTTTTGACTTCTCTTCATCTACAAATAATTCTTGATATGAAAAAACAATGACAAAAGATAGAAAATTATACAATAGTCTCACAATATTACGTGACTTTATCACAAATCACCATTCATTATGTTTTTTCATATTTCTCATTCACCCAACACACATAATTAATACCTCACATTCTTCACCAATTATACTATCATAAAGCACTACGTGACCGTATTTCAGAACTACTGAATAATCAATTAGCAAGGTACTAAAACTACTTAATATATGGGGGTTCGAGGTGAACAGTGATGAAGAGAGCGATTAGAGAGGTAAAATTATGTTAATGGTCCAACAAAGTTAGAATGGCTGGAGAATGAGTCAACAAAAATTTGGTAAAGTTGAAAAATGAGCAATTGGGCAAGGATGGAGCAAGTGGTTCAAGGATAAGAAAATGACAGTGTACAAATGGACAGTATCTCTCTAAGTCTCCAAAAATCCTCTCCTTGGATCTTAGAAAATGAGTCATATTTATAGATTTTTCTTTGGCACCAACGGATACCAAATGGCCAAATAAAGTGAGGACACGTGTCTCTAAGAATCGCATGAAATATTTTGTCTTGGACCACCAGGCTAAAGGTGTCACGTGTCCTTCTACATGTACTATGTACTATCTGTTTGGCACAGGTGCCTCAGCAAATGCACTTGTGCCGGGAGTGTTTGTCGCTACAACTTGCCTCCCCAGCTTGAATCTCAGCAAGTACATTTGCGGCAGTAATGTTTGTCATTGCACTTGCCTTCTCAGTTCAGTTTAGCTAAGACATGCATTCTTAGGATTTTATAGCTTACTATTAGCTATGTTCGTGTTCACCTTAGCGACGCCTCCACCCTTAGCCTCCTAACCATAAACTCCCTAACTTCCTAGGGCGAATGCCAGAGAGCCTACTATAAAGCATGATGTGCCTTAGTACCAAGCACAATAGGGACTTCCTTGGTCCTGCTTGTATAACCAAGGCAGGTCAAAGTCCCTTATTCTTGGGTTGCCTGCTCCCATCTTCGTGGCGTCGCCGTGGCATACTGGTATCTTTAGGCTTGTTATCAACTCTAACCAGTAAGCTTTAAGGCCTGTTATCAATGCCAAGCTAATCAGCTTCAGGGCCTGCTATTAGGGTCGAGCTAATGATGGCTTTAGGGGCCTACTATCAGCCCTAAGCTAGTAATGCCTTGGGGACTGCTATCAGTGCCACGCATTAGCATCTACCTGTG